GCTTGCTAACTCGATAGCAAGGTCAACCAGAAGAAGGTCCAGTAGTAACTAGCTGAGAGGAGGCACATCACCATCTACTGTAGCTGACATTTTTCTGTCAATAAAATGATTCTCCTTTGTTGCATGTATTCTTTGAAAAGGACAGTATTCCAATGAAATGGTTTATCTAGATTTAACTGATTTAAAAAACGACGTCCTCTGTTCCAGGTGTCTGTAGCTCATGCAACGAACCTCTGTTGTGTAATATGTGGACGTTTTTCAGACCGACTGGCCCCCTGTTGCAAAGAAGAGAAAGTGCGTCACTGCCAGCTCCCCCCACACCAAGTGATCAAGTTATGTTGTTCTGCATCTGACATCTTGTCTCTTGGGGGAGGCAGGCCAGGCCCGTTTTCCATGCCCGCAGGTTCCAGCTCTGGTGTGGGATTCCCAAGGCCTCAAGAAAGCACAGTTTACAACATTCCCACAGTGGTGGCCACTGAATGGCTCTTTTCCTCTTCTCCCCTCTTCTCTTTGACTGGGGTTTCTTTTCTACCCATGTTGTTTGTCAGGCAGCGGTTTGGGAAGCTGCCCGATGGTTCCTGGTCCGTTCTGTGAGGGGTATGAGAAGAAGAAAGAGAAGGAGGGGGGGGGGGGCCCGCAATCCCTCCAACCCCAAAGTCCACGACAGCTCCACAGCTTTGTTCCCCATCCAAGACACCCCCTCCCACTCCTAACCACGGGATCCTCTCTGTGGCGGAAAATCCTTCCCATGAGCAGTTCAGCTCTAAGGAAGTAATTAAACATGGGTAGTTTGGTGTAATGGACATTGTCATGCTGCCATTTACTGATCCCCAGGCTCACAAACTCAGATACACAACAAAAAGTCAGTACTGATGAGGAAAATGAGACTGCTTGTTAATAAATGTCTGTTTTTGACCAGCAGTTGAGCAAAAAACAGTCAGATTAATGTGTTAATTTAACCTAATCACAGAGCTTGTTAGCAGTTTAACTACATCTGTGTATTTTTTCTTGTGGAGGATCATGGTGTTCTTGTCAGTTTTAAGACTAGGTTAAATAGTAAAGACTAGCATACACTAACGTATTGCCTGTTTTATTTTGACAATCTAGGCCCATAAATATGTGGTGATTTGGGGCGTGTCCAACCACATTTTGTTGTAGTTAAGCGGCACACAATCTGGGCATTAAGCTAGGTGCAGGTGCAGAGAGGTTGGATCAAGTCCCTTTTTTTATACATAGGCGTGCTTTGGGTGTAATAATCAAACCACTTCCTGTGTCACATCTCATTCCCTTGAAGAACCAGGTGCATCTCGCACAGGGAGAGAATTCAGAGTCCTGATTGCTTTACACGTTTACACCAGGTGAAGATGACAACTGGGTCAGGTGGAATGAAGGAAAGACACCTGCACTGACACTTTGCAGTCAGTGTCTTCAACCATTCTAGCAGGTCTGTGAGGCTGCACCTTAAACAGCAGAGCTAATTTCAGCATGCTAGCATGTTAACATTTTGATGGTAATTAGCAAATGTCTACTAGGTGAAGGTTTTTTAAATGTTGACCCTTTTAGTTTGACCGCTTGTTACTAACTAGCATTAAATCCAGTATTGCAGTATTGCAGTATTGCTGATAAGAATGTAATTACTTTTGCAGGTTTTTTATGTCAAAGCAAAGTTTTAAAAAGAGGGATATTTTTAAGAAAGCTTAATGAAAAGTCAGGGATCACTTAAATGATATGTTATTCCAAGGTAACAAGGATAGCTGCTTATATTTTCATGGCACTCAAGCCAACAGCTGTCAGTCTGCACCTTCATTGTAGCAGATGACTGATTACCAGACCAACTTTGCCTTCCCCTGAGCCATACAGCTATATGCTTAACTATAGAAGCGCAGAGTCTTTTCAAACAGCAAATATTTTAGCGTCATGTTACAAATACGCAAGTGGCATGATAAGGTGCTGAACAACTACATTTTTCATCCATTTCTTATTACAGGGAATATTTCTCAGCTGATGATGCTTCAGGAACGCCTAGTTAGCACCTTCAGTCAATCATTAGAACAGGGCAGAGAGAAAATCATAGTAGGGCTGATCTCTATTTGCCATCATCATGCTTATGAGTGAAGTGTTTTTTTCTGACTACAAATTCTCCTCCTGGTTTCAAAAGGCCTCTTTGTTCGAGAAAGTCAGACCTTGCAGCAAAAGTTGAACACACGCAATAGCGAAACATATCTCAAATGAGAGGGAACTAATTAAGCGTGTTGTGGGAGCCAAGTTACAGACTGTGACAGTAATTACAGAAGCAATCACTTCACATCCTTCCTGCTCCTTGGCCACATTTCACAACTACCGGCTCTTTTGGAAAACAGCCAAATTAAGACTCATTAAGCCCATCTGAGGTTTTTAATTAAGACACACGTTTATAAGTGGAATTCTTCAAATATTTCCAACCATATACCACCTAAGTATATGAATAAAGCTGAAGGAAGTCCCTACATGGGTGTTGCACTGAATACCGATTCAGTGGTTTATAGAGCAAGAGGACCTTGATGGAGGCAAAGTGCTTCCGGACGTGCAGTAGTGATCCACATGTGCCGGCTAAGAGTGTGACACAAAGATAAAAAATGATCAGTATTCTTTAAACACCTTCTTCTACACCCATGGATTTCCTGTTCAACTGATCTGACATGAGCTCTGATGGGAAAGGCTGCTTTTCTTGGACGGCCAAATGCCAAAACTCAAAGTTTCATGTAATTTCTGTGAGTCATATAAAACGTAATTCTGTTTAAAAAGAATCCTTTGCTCGTTCTGTGTGGTAGAAAAAAAAGGAGTTTAGGCGTGATTAATCTGGAATTGCACTTGGTTAGAATACCTGATTCTGTGTGTGTGTGTGTATGGGGCTGTGTTAGTGTGTGTGTGTGTGTGTGTGTGTGTGTGTGTGGCGGCAGTAAACACGCTGTGATGTGGTCATTGGAGAAAACGAAGAGTTCCGGAACGCCTGAGGAGTGAGCTCATTCAAATTAAAGTGCGTGGCAATTACCAAATGGTGCAAGTGCAGGAGAGCAGGCCGCCTGATAAAGAGTCAGACACAAAGTGAACTACTTAACAACTTACAGGTGACTCTTCACATAAACAAACATAAATTTGACTCTCTTTTACACAAACAGGGTCTACTAACGTATTCGTAAGCACGCACACTCCCCACAGTGTTTTATAGAAGAAGAAAAAAAAACACAAAATCCATGGAAACAACCTTTAAATCCTCGCCTGAAAGCTGCGGTTGCCTCATGAAGAGAGCTGCACTGCATTTTACATCCCTTTGCACGCTTGTCCCCGATTGAAGCGGAACACTGTGGTAATATTAGCAAAGGCAGCTGAGATTTGATTGCAGTTTGTGGTGCAAATAAAACTCTGGAATGAACAACACCATTCAGCTTTTCCAGACTCTCAGTGAAGAAATAAACCTTTCACCATCTCTGTTTCTCTTTTGTTGCGGAGGAAAAAACACATTTATCTGCTAATGCTGATCATGACTTGAAGTTTAATGGACAAAGCTTTGACCATTAAAATAGAATTTCCTGTTGAGCATTCAAAAGAGGAGTGCGTGTAATGTGTCCTCATTATCACGACTCCTCTCAGCAGTGGTATCTCATTGATGAATAAAACTTGTTCAATGCGATATTTATTATAACCCTTTAATGGATCTGCCCATGGAGAACATAGTGGGGTTTCTTCTTGAATAAATTGTCAAATAAAATAAGTGTGACTTGAAAGAGCAAGTCTTTTGCAATGGAAACTCCCCACAGGAAGATAGTGGTTTACCGAGCTGTCCAAGCCCTGCTTCACTCTGCACTGATGCAAATGGGCCCGTTCTGCGACTGTGTGTGAGTTCTGTTAATGAAAGACTCGCTTTAATGAGTTCTGAAAGGATGAGGCTCCCGAGGACACATGCTGAGGCCTACAGCTGAAACCTCGGTGGTAAACTTAGAAGAGGCAGACCGAAGAGAAATGTAGCGACATGGAGAAAAGAAAAAAGGAAATATAAAGGAAAAGGATGAATGAGAGACAAAGGCAGAGATTGTGGAGAAGAAGAGAAAAAGAGAGGAAGGAATGGAGAGATATTGGAAGACATTGAGGTGTCTGCTATGCTTGAAAGGAAGACAGTGCCATCTAGAGACCTGGTGTGACAGCTGTGCATTGCTGTACTCAAGCATGCACATAAACTAGTCACTGTCATGCACAGGTTGCTATTAAATAACATCTTAAACAAACGAATAATAAGGTTTCAATACATTAGAATAAAACTGCCCCATGAGAGCCTATATCATGTTCAAAGGCTTTTCTATTCCTAAAAGAGAATTCTTTGAAATACAGTATGTTTGCATGAAATCTGGAAACACACCCAATATTTTTACCATGAACAACATTCATTGTTAGTAGATTTTATGGAGTCTTTGCACAGACCTTCTTGGAGTCAGAGCCCTCCTCTCCCTCAGCCCCTCATGCTCCCTGCTGCTTCCACTCGGGTTCCCATGCCCTCCTTTATCCACGGGGGCCAGTTGGGTTTTTACCAAATTGTGGCTTTTCTTCAATCTCATGACATCTTGACTCATTTATCAACATCCTAACATTAATAAATGACCCTATAGAAAGGCTCTATCCCTATTGTATTAAACAGTAATGTTTTCTCTTCTAGGACATCACGTTTACAAGACAACAAGGAGAGCTAGACATCGAGAAAAGTAATAAAGTAAAGCATCAAGAGAGAGAGAGAAATTAGTAATTTCAGAGATCAGTTATTATGACTGTGCACAAGCTTGTGTATCAACTGGTTTAAAAAAAAACCTATTTGACAATCATGCCTCTTCAGTTTCCACATTATTATTTTTTTCTGTCATTGAGCAGACAGTAGTCCTCTTTAAACAATGTTCTGATCAGCTGATTATCATAAGTAATAATCCAACCAGATTCTGCCACAACCTCTCCCAACCAATTATCCTGCTGCTGTCAAATTTTAAAATCTGTCCTCTCTCTTCCGCAGTCAGTTTGTCATTTCAGTGGGATCGCTGCGACCTCCCTCCGCCTCAGTTACCTCTACTCCAGCTCAGTAGAGTTCAGATCCAGCCTCAGAAACCCACTCCTCATCACATACCTCCATCACCCACCACCCCACCAGGATAGACTCCAGAGGGGGGGTATCCTATCCTATCCTACCCCTCGTCATGACGGAGTCTAATCGCCACAGACATTTCATATTTATTTTTTCCTAAATTGTCAAATAAATCCTGGTAAACTCTTACTTAAGTCTCTTCTGATTGAAGCCTGCTCCTCTTTACTGTTTAATTAAGATATTTAAGAACCCATTTTGGAAACAGAATAGAAGCTATGGTGGGATTTAATCCATAACCCAAGACTCCATAACCTGTAGGGGAAGAAAATCTGTTAACTGTCCCAGACTTGGAACTTGTACGACGGATACATATTAAACTAGAATGTCCCTCGAGGTTTTCTAGAAATAATGAGCTGACACTTTGTATGATCAAAATCCCCACATCTTATGTAGGTCCCATGGCCTGGATATTGAAATGTGTTGATTTTCTTTCATGAAATTTAACCAAACCTAAACTACAGAGACTGTCAGATATTGGCTCAGATGATCTGGACTAGAATCTTGGAAGAGGATGCAAGCAGAGGAAAAGATATCATCCTCTTGTGGTCACTCACAGAACAGGAAGCGTGGACAGGGATCTCACTTTTGAAGGTCACTGTGCTTTCTGGTGGTGTGGAAGCTTTCCCGCGTAGTGTGAGAAGATTTTTAAAAAAAGGCAGCAGAGTATGTAGAGTTATTGCACATTTACTGTTTGCAAAGGAAGAGGAGATATATAAGGCCAAACACACTGACATGTCGTGTTGACCTATAAAATGTAGGCAAAGTAGCAAAGCTCTGCAACAGACATGCACAGAAGACTTTGGTGCAATATACTCTAAATAGATCATAAATACATCATGTAGCATTATCATTTTAAATATGTTTCAATAACAGGAAGTTGTCTTAAATACAAGTAGGCGGTACATGTTTTCTACAAAGTCTCCTTCATAGGTCGATACATTCAGACCTTTATCAATAATTTCAGGTTTGACCAATCTATGAGGCCATTTTCCTAATCTCACTGTTAAGGCATACGGCTAAAAAAAGATCTACAACCACCTTGGACAACTGTGAACACAGACCACCAGTGTTTGCTAACCCACGTTTCAGCATTTTTTCTTCCTATTAATTGAAAGTGCTTGATGCATCAGAAGAAGCAAAATTACATTACAGATTAAATTAAATCTATCGGAGACTCTTATCTTTTTCTGGGAACTTGAGAACATTTGGCAAAAAGGAGGAAATGAGTTTCCCTGTTAGGGATGAATAAAGTTTCCTTATCTAATCTAACATTTGGTTGCTGCACATTTAGTCAACTTGGGAGATGGTAAAAGGCCTAAAATCAGATTTGAGTCAGATTTGACTTGTTGTTTCTCTGCTTTAGAAGAGGATATTTTATACATGACCTGTTTAAGTTTTGCTTCAAAATAAATGTCGTTCACAAAATGGCTTTTTAGCTGAAAAGTGCTACGAGCAGAACACATCTTGGTGATTTAGGAAGTTACAAGGCAAACATTTAGAAGTACATCTAGTTTCCATGAGTAAGGACTTTCTAAGGCTTCTCCAATTGGTTCAAACTTCAAACTCTTCAAAATAATCATCAACTTTCAGAAAATAATAAAAAATGCTCTAGCCTCGGGTGTTTTTGAAGGTTTGGGTTGGAGAGCTTTGTAGAAGGAGGCGGATGGTTTTCAGTTCTGGTGAAGAAGGAAGTTCTTGATGGGCTGTGGTAGTGGTAATGAGGTTATCTGGTTAAAACGACTTTTGCCCAGCGTTCTGCGGATCCTGATGCGACACAGGTGTGTGAGCCTACGCGGGCTTTCTGAGAAGGGAAAAAGCAAAAGTTGATCCTATTAGAAGAAGAAGTTTATTAGAGTGTCAGGTTTCCCATGATAATAACATGGTACAGTCCAAGCATCTTTGTTCCCTGACAGTTTTTAATTCGTTTTGTTTTGTCCCTCACTTTTATGGTCTAAACATAGAAATGATGTAGAAGCATGAACAGACCTTTAACATGTATATTATTGTAATGATGTACGTTCAGTTATGTTTCAACCTAAGAAAAAATAATTCACTATGAAGAGTTCTGAAGGGAAATCCAAGATGGCAGACCAATTGAGATGTTACTTTTTGGAAGAAAACAGGAATTAGTCTGTTGCAATCATGAGAAAATAACAACAAACCAAAACTATATATGAAGCCAGTGAAGTAAATAAATACATAATAATATCCCTATTAAAAATATGATTTTTAAAGATTTATTTTGGGGCTTTTTATGCCTTTGTTTAAGGGACAGGAAAGTGGGTAGAGTCAGATTACGGGGGAGAGAGAGTCAGGAAAGACATATGGGAAAGGAGCCACAGATTGGATTTAAACCTGGGCCATCCGTTTTGAGGACTATAGCCTCCGACATGAGGTGTGCGCTACCACTAGGCTACCGGTGTCCACCTACTTAAATTTCTACTTTAAACATACTTTTTACTTAGAGACCCTTTTTTAAAAGATAATTTTCATCAATGCCTCTATATTCAAAGATTGTACTCACTCCTTGCCTCCAAGAAGACCTTAAGTGCCTTTTGATCCACCTTCCTCCGATTAGGAGCCTCCAGTTCCACCTCGTCCCAGGGCACGAAGGCCGGGTTGGCCCCGTGGTCCAGCAGCAGGTGGACGAAGGCCTCCTCACATCCGTGTCTCAGCACAGCATCGAGCAGGCAGGAAGCCAGGCCGCGGGTCAGAGCCTCATGGCAGACGGGCCCTGTGTAGTTGAAATCAGGCTGAGCTCCAGCCTGCAACAGCAGCCGGAAACAGGAGAGGTGGTGGTACGCGGCACTGATGTAAAGTGGACAAACCACCAGGGTGTTGAGTGTGCGGGCGCTTAAGAGGAGTCGGGGTCCCAGCTGGTGGTCCATGTCTACATCAGCATGGAACCTGGACAGAAGGAAACATAGGTACAGCTGAGTTTTTATGAAACCTTAAAAATACATACATCATTGTTTTAATTTCACAGAAAAAGAAGTATACAAACATGATATGTGTCTAGGTCAGAAACTTTGACTTTCCATCTTTCCAAATGTTTTTTTTTTTCTTGCAAAATCCTTCATCATGTGTTGCTGATATAATGGAATCATTTGTTTTTGTGTTTTCTGGGAGCAACTTAGGAGAGACTAGTACTGTTACACTGTATCACACGGCTATCAGTAGTTTAAAATGCTAACCTGGGGACAACACACTGTATAAACAAATAAATACAACAAAAATTGTCAAAAACCAAAAAACAAGGTGTAGACCGGTTTAAACAACAGACGACATGACCCAAAAGCAAAGCCACAACCTTTGGAGCTCCCCCTACTGACTGACTGCAGTATATGACATAAAACCCGGCTCCTTTGATGTTTACAGATGCAACATGAGTCAGACTATAAAATGAAAATACAGGTCAAACACGGTTGCTGTTATTATAAATTGTTCTCATGATGCTGATGTATGTCTGAGTGTTCATTTTATTGAGATGTTTACTTGTAACTATTTATTTGATGCTATTAAAAGGGGTTTAATGCATTGATTGACAGCTCTGTTGACAAATGCGGTTCCTTTGGTTCAGTGTCTACTGGATCAGCAGAGTAGAGGAGGAACAGTCAGAAGAATGGAAGGAAGGAAGGAAATAGTCATTAAACTTTCCTTAACTGTGAGTGTCTGCTTCAAGCCAACACAGGAATCTGTTCTGCTATGGACTGTGCTGACCTGAGGCATATGGGCCATTTTACGGTAGGTTAAATGTGTGATAAGTGGAAGGACCGGGACATCAGCGTGACCCTCTCCTGCCCTAACCTGATGAGCTCCTGCAGTATGTCCACCCCTCCCACCCGTGCTGCATGATACAGTGGGGTGCTGCGGTGGTGGCGACTTCCATTTGGATCAGCTCCAGCTTCGAGGAGGATCCTGACACAGTCCAGGTGACCATTAACCACAGCTACATAGAGGGCCGTTTGACCTTTCACATCAACCAGGTCCACTTCGGCTCCCTGTGAGATCAGATAGGCCACAGAGGCGGCGTGTCCCGCTGTGGCGGCGATCCGCAGAGGGGTACAGGGCAGACAGCCACAACACCACACCGACTTCTCATTGATACGCCTGGAAGGGAGAGAAGGGAGTGGTTGTTAATTGTTACCTAAAATACAAGATGTGGGATTGTCTTGGTTGAATTTTAGAACGTTTTTTAAGAAGTGTTGTGTAAAAGCAGTTAAATATTTACACAGATACCTGCTAAAATATACTGCTCTAAACACAAGTGACCAAGCCCAGTTGGAATACACAGGTCAGGGCAAACTCATTGAAGTAGTAGTTTATATGAATAACTATGTGGAAACGACCAAGACAGTAATAATGGTTTGGCTGGATGTAGAGATTGTGAGGTGCATACTGAACAACCACTGAGGGATGGGAGTTATAGAGTGCTGACTTCTCTTCCATGCTCCTGTCAGGCTATGACACATGGGTTCATTATCAGTAGGGCTGGGAATCTTTCTTTGGGATTCGATTCTGATTCTAGGGGTCACGATTCGATTCAGAATCTATTTCCGATTCAAAACGATTCTGGATTCATTGATTCATGGATTCAAAGTCTATTTTTGAATTAGTACATCTACTCTGGATCTTCAGGATCTACTCCAGTCATCCGTGAGGCTGGCTGAATTTCTTGTTGCTCTATTTGGCATTCTACTGAGTTAAAGAGCTAGCATTAGCACTTAACAGGGAGTGGCTGATGAAAAAAAAATTGGAAGTTATGAATCTACTTCAAATCTCAGAAGATAAGAATCTCGATTTTCACATAAAACTATTTTCCCCACCTCTAATGATCAGTACCTGTATTGACAGTATGCAAACAACCAGATGTCAGTGCACATCGGTCTCAATTAACAATGAACCAGCGCCCCCAGCGGCATAGGAGTATGGTGGTTATAGCACTGTACGTTCAAGAGGATAAAGTACCCAGCATGTGGAGTGTGTTACGTTGTACAACACTGTTAAGTGGTAGAGAAGTGGAAGGACACATTCTCCACAGCATGTCTCTCTCTCAGGCTGTCACTCAGCAAACCCACCGCACAAACCCACTCGACACTGAAACCACAGACCACTTACTGCCACACAAGAGCACTGTGGACACAAGCCTCTGGTTCTGCAGTAAGATGATGTATGAAGTGACCAACCAAGTACGAAGAATATGCTATAATTCTACAACAACAAAACAAATAGTTGCATGAAATGCATTACAATACCTAATTTTATAACCCCCATATTGTCTGACACACACTCTTTGTTAATATACCTGAATATGACTGAATTGGGATTTTTGACACCAATACATAAGTCAGAAGAACTGCCTATTACAGATATGAAAGCTAGTGAATGTTGCACTGGAATGAAAATAGACCTTTTTGACTTTGTGCAGATTTACAACCATATAACTATGTAGAGATACTCAAAAGGCTGTTTTAAACAAATAACTTAAATTAAGAATATTTCAATCTGCTCAGCTGTAATGCTGTTAATGTAAGGGGTTCAGACAGTATAAGGATATTGAAAACCATGCTGCTACTTTCATATTGGGGCATAACAACGCCACAATTTCCCAGTTTGGGATCAATAAAGTAATTCTATTCTATTCTAACAAACCGAAACAGATCCATAAAGGCAGATCATGTAGGCCAGGCTATATATATATCTGGAAGGCTTCATTTATTATAAGTGTGACACAAATAAAACCTTATCATAAAGATCATCATTTACTCCCTCCCACCGTCTGAAGCTGTCTTCCTGCAGCAGGTTCCTCAGGGTGTCCAGATCTCCGACGTAGGCTGCGTTGTGGAGCCGCATGTCATCCTGCTCCAGAGGTTTGTCGCAAAACTGCTCCTGGAGCCATTCTTTCAAATTACGACCTAATAAGGGCACACAGAAACTTAACTGTCAGACCACGGCTTGCTGTGCTACTGAGAGATGATTATTACAGTTTATCTATAAAGAGCTGATGCATACTATAAACTCGTTTATGCATATTTGTTTTGTCAGCTCCCCCAGCACTGATGCCAGAGTGTTTTCATATTCTAATATGAAATATGAGAATCCTGCATTCGAGAGATGCTCCACTCACTTCATATCCTCACATTAGGCTACAGGTCTACAAGGGTGACTGATAGTGGGAGGAAACTGTATATATAATATATAATAAATTCTTCTGTTTCTGGTGAGCTTATGAAACCCACAAATGAGTTGGAGTTGTTCCATGGTTACAAGAACACCATACAGCTTATCTGAGACCCTCTGACATAGGCATTTAACACACCACACCAAAATGTAATGAATGCCAGGCTGTGGCGTAGCTGAATGTTATTGATCAGGAGTTGATGTTATTTAGAAGCTCTAATTATCAATCTATTACACCTACACCATTAATAAGCTATAATAATAATACAGATGCAGTGTGGGCCACTGCTTCGTATGCATACCTCTGCAAGTCCAGACATATTTTAACACACTCACATTAACCATAATGAGCCACGCCTTATTACATGAATCAGCCTCAATAACACAACATCTACTATTGTTGCCATGCTCATGAACTCAGCGTGTTTTTGTACCCACTGTCCTCTGATCTGACACTCTTCCACATGGAGGCTACATGCTCCCCTTTACAGCTTTGATGAATCATTGTTACCTGCAGCAGTGGCATGTGGCAGATCAGACACAGTGATGAGCGGTGGGAAATTGATACTGGGCGGGTCGTCGACATCAGCCTCTTGACCGTCCGCCATAGTCTTGAAATGTCACGACGTCCGACTGAAAACAGTGCTTTAAAATTAGATTGACACTGATTTCCGTAAGAACGACACTTCGTACAATCTAACTCAGGGCAGAGACATAAACATAAACAAACGTGACTGTGTTGATGACGGCTACCGCACAGTCCTCTGCGTTACTTCCTGTCTGCGCTCAGCTGGAGGGATTTAAAGGGGAAATGTCCCTTTAAACATGAGCGTCAGACAGCGGAAGCACCGTGTACTGTGACTAATAATAAATGACCTTACAGATATTTTAAATAAAATGAAAACATGACCAAAAAAAAAAAATGTTCTCTTATATTAAAACAGACATTTTCATAATATAGACAAAGTCCTTCTGAAGTCAGAGTCAAAATAAAGTTTGGGAGAAACTTTAACTAAAACTGTTAGATTCGATATTATTTGTTTTGCAGCTTTGCAATAAATTACTTTTTTTTTTTCAATTTGTCGATTTTTAACTTCCTTAAAAGTATTTTTATGGTTTTTATATACTTCAGAAACAGAAAGGAACATGTACTCAAGATAAGTCAGTTATATCTAAATCTGAGGTTTATCATGATGTCTGATGTGTATTCTTACTCATAATCTAAGTAAAAGAGACTGAACTTCAGAAATGATAAGCTCCAACAGACTGTAGGTTAGGCTATCTCCATGTAATCTATACAAGTAGTCCTATTATGGATTCTGTTCAGCGGCTGGTTGCATGTATGTTGTACTGAGTATATCTATATATGTGTTACTGAAGTTGATCTTTGTACTAAAAGTGTTGCTGGATCTTTTTGACCTCTTCAAGCCTTTCACTCTTCATGCACCTTGGTAGTTGGCAAAGTTGTGCCAGATAATCCTCTGCTTCTTCAGTACTGAATATATATCTCATATTTTGTGAACTTCAAATTCAAACTTTTAATCGACCTGGAAACATGGTAGGAAGCTCATCCAACTAATAACAACACTCAGTAACCATTACAAAGGTTCTGTATTAGAGCTGATTGTAAACGAGTGAGATTATAGAGGGATTTTTGACCAATCAAAAGTCAGCCCACGTGTAGTTAATGCTCAATATTGAAGTCATTGGCCCTCTCATTTGGCCTAACATGAGGAAAAGTTGAGTCTCTCATTAGCAGCATGATCAATTGTTAAAATCAAAAGGAAAAAATCAACATAGGCTTTTTTAAAGAGGCAATCATGGTTTAAGTCACTTTCACTTTGAAGTACCTCTGAGTTTGAAGAGAAAAGAGGGGTCAATGGAGCCGTCCTTTCCATGGACCGTGCTGATTTTTAATCCACCTGTTGAGTCTGGGGCCAGTTCTTTGCTGAAGCAGGTGTCTGTGACTTCTGCAAGGAGCCTTTGGCTAAATCTCTAACCTGCATGACAAATGTTGATGCTGCTTCCTAATACACTTTGTGTGGCTTTCAGCTGCTTGCCAGAGAAAAGGTTTCTGCTAATATGACTTGAGGGTCTAAAGAATACAGTTAAATGTTTACCTTCTGTCATGTCAGATTGGCTTTAAAAGAAGTGAAACTCTTTGGGAGTGTGACTTCACCATGCCAGATGTCACAGGGAGTTTGAATAAAAACCTAAAAAAGAAAAGAATATCAAAAGGAACAATCGTCATCCTGCAAATATTATGAAGGCAGCAACACAGACCTCTTGTTAAGTTTTCATTATGAGGCTTTAGACTGTAGAAAGAAAAGAGACAGATGATTATTGAAATGTAACCATTTATTTCACTCCACTACAAAATTATAGAATCATTTAGCTATGATACAGTCTTCACATATACATTATGTACACTTTAAAGACAAACAGAGGATATGATACAAATTGTTTACAGTGTAAATAGTGCTTTTATATCAGACACATTAAACATACAAGTTCTCACCTTTCCAGGAGTTTTCTTTAAAGATTCTCAAAATTGAACATATAGGGTTGGAAACTGTTCATGTTTATATTTGATGGACTAAATATAATACTGACGTGAAAATGGAGTAAAGTCAGACTAAAGAAGAGTACAGTTTGACTGTTGAACTGAGATAGTAAATATCTAACAAAACTGAGAGCATTTTATTTAACAAGTCTATAACAGAGCTCCTCTTAATAAAAAGTCAGACGCTACAAAAGTCTGCCTACTGATAACCACTGGTTGTCTGTTTGATTACATTACCAGTTGTTCTTAAAATGTAGTGTAAGTGTTTACACTTTGGGGTGCAGAACTTTTCCTCGTTCTACATTGTGTTCATGAAATTCACCAGCCATGCAGCTTCCTCACATATTGTAACCTGTGTTATCTAACGCTCCTGCCTATGGTTTTAAATAAATCATCCAATAAATGTATCAAAAGGAGAAAAACACAGTGCCATGCAAGTGGAAAACCATATTTGTGTACAAAATGTGTGACTTTGAATATCACATTCAGAGAATTTTAACTACTTTAGTCACAACTTTCCATTACATTTAAAAATAAAAACATTTTGGAAAGTCCTGGATTACATTCATCAATCCAACCTGGATGTCATGGCAAGTGTTTGTGAATAATTCCCTGTAAACAACGGCAGTCATCATCTCATGGGACACAAATCTGCAGAGGAACTGAAAGAGGTAGCAACTGCAGTTTTAAAGTACTCACAGACTTTAAAGTAGATTTTAGACTAACAACTAAACAACGGGGACTGCATTTTCAAGAAGGTGAGAAGGGCCACAACGACACTGACAAGTTTCGCTTGTGTTCTTTAGAATTCATTCACAACAGTATGATGGAGTTATTGGGATTGTGAAGAAAACTGTGACTTTCAGACTCACTTTTCCAACTCCAATCATTCACTGAAGTTATCCATCAAGTATTGCTTCATATTTTCATATAAGCTACATCTGTTAAGCAAATTCTTATAATCCAAAAATAAGCTAATATAATAATGTTCTTTTTTGTCTACATCTATAAAGAGTTGGGGTTACTCACAAAGAGTCATCTTCCGACAGAAAGTTTCCTTAATCCCCCCAACCCAAATGAACAAACAAAAACAAAAACAGAGTGGCATATCCTGCAGAACAAACATTGTGTGGAGATCTTCATAATGGTGGCTGTTCTGTAAGTGAGGGGACATACACTTACTTCTCCTTAAAAGTACCATACCATATGATATATGTGTGTTTTATTTAATAAGATAGGAGGTTTAAGACATAAACATATCATCTGTTACTATCACTAGTGCTTTGCCACACCAAGCACAACCATCTACCTGGGTGTCACTAGTATCCCCAAAGGAAAATGACTTAACAGCAAGCACAGAGTTGTTTGACTGCTGATCATGTGTAAGCGCCTTTGGAAGAAAAAGAAAAGATGAAATGAAAAAGGTTTCAGGAAGAATGCAAGCCCCAATTATAAAGTTTACATTTCCATCCATGAAGCCACTTTCCTGCTCTAATCAACCAGCTAAATATCACATTGTTAGCATGTGCGAGAGTTGAATAATGGTGTTGTAGCTAGTCCAATAGCATTAAAGCACATGCATTGATCACCACAACAGTAAAGCCCGCTTTGTACCCTTTTGTTCAGTAACGACTTATTCCATAGTCTGTACGACCTGGCGACATAAGAAGTGAGGCAATTAAAAGAAGTGCCACACATTAGATAACCTTTTCCCACAATGGTCATTAATAAAACAAACATTTAGGTTTAAAATTGTGGTCCAGTGATCGCTGTGTGTACAGCAAAACAGACTGTCATGTTATTACTGTATATATTTGGATGATATGAACTTTATGAAGTGACCCAGTATTAAATAGTTCTATCTAGTCTAGTCTAACATTCAAGTTGCAGGCTGTGCACCAGCTCCTTCCACAAAGGCACTGTTACAGTAAGAGGGAGAAAGACGGGGTAAGGTAAGTGTGCGGAGAAGGAAGGTTTTTTTTTTTTTTTTACTTTCAGTCATGGCAGATGTTAGATTGGGAAAAGTAAAAGCTTTTACTTACTCACTTTACCTGACTGATTATGTTTGATATGCATTTGGGTCCATCTTTTACAAAACCCCTAAAAGTGCAGTGTTTTGGTCCCACTAGCTCCAAGAAAAAAATGGTCTTTCCATCCTTATGAACAAGAAATTGTTCACCCCTAAACCTTCAGTGCATTTAAAACAAAACAAAAATCTAATATCAGAGACCTTGTTCCTCACTTCAGGATTTGGAGGCGAAGTTGATTCCAGTCACCATTTTCTGAATCTTGTCTTCATTCTTTAGTATGTTGGATCTTAAAGCACAAATCTTGTCCTGCTGGTCCTTGATCAACTGCTCGAGCTCTGTTAGTTCTACCTTAAGAGGCTCCACTGCCCTGTCTGTGGCTCTGCAGCAGAAACACACGTACAAAGCACACACTTACAAAACCACAGAAGGGATGATCAATTCCATACAACAGCATAATAAAAGAAAACATGAGAAAATGTCCACAGGGACCTGCAATACAAATACCTTTACAGATATTTAAATGAAACAGTCACATAGTCACATCGCAGTTGCCCAGGAATATCAAACGTATATGGATATGAACTAGTGCCTTCAATAAAAAATATTAAACAACATATAACTTCAAACATTTTGTTCATGTTCCAAACCCACCTCTGCTCCTGCAGCAAGGCCTGTGCATGTTCTTTGTTCTCCTTCCGCCAGGTGTTCAGCTCAGCCTGCATGGCGTCCATGTCCTCCTGGATGTAGTCCATGATCTTACCTAAAGGCAGGGTGCTGCGACACACCGTCTGGATGGATGAGCGGAGCCGCTCTATCTCTCGTGTCACCATGTCCCGCTCCTTCTTCTGTGCTGCTTCGGACACCACGTTCTGAAGAAAACAATAGGGGAGATTTGGGGGTTAAAAAAGCTCTAGCCACCACTTTATAAAAAATACAAAGAAATATTTAGAAATATATTTGGAGAATTTGGCACGGAAATAGACTTGCATCTTTTCATATAATTTGCTTGATTCAAACTACACATGGTGTCAAACAGCTGTATGAACACACACAACAATCACTTGTGTGTCCCGAGATCAAACCATAATAAACCCTCCTTAGGAATTCTACCTTTGCCAGCAAAGTCTCAAATGGCCAGAACCAGAGCAAGGCTGCATTTAGCGGTTTAGGATTTCAAGGCTAAAAATGTTAGGCAGGAATTCTACCGACCTAGCTGTATATATAAAGATCAAACATGCGGCTGAATTGTGTTGGCCAAAGTAGGGGGACTGGTTGATGAAGGCTCCAGTGTGTGGTTAGAGGGGGGTTAGCATATCCACATTACACTCAGACTCGTGATGGTGAAAAGGAGGGGAAGGTATCAGGGAAGGACCTCCCTTGGCAGGGAGCAAACCCAAGGATGTTTGCTCAGCTGGGCCACGCAAGGCCCCTGAGTGTGTGTAATGCAAAGCACCACACACACACACACACACACACAGGCACAAGAGCTAAGCAGAGGTTCAGAGAAGCATACAGTTGACACACACAGCCCCCACCTGCCTTCTTGCTCTTGTTTATTTTAGTAACAGGCTGTGGCAGTGGGGTTATTTTACTACAGTATTGAGTAACAACTACTACACTTATTCCTCCTTTCAAGTTCAACTCTTAGCCCAATTTATTCTGTTTGGCTCCACAGATGGGAGCACCTGCCTTCACGAGGCAGCGGGGATCATATTTGTGACGGTGTGTAAACCAAATGACAGCTTCCTCTTCAAAACACACAATCTGTCAGAAAGCCTGCTTGTGTAGCCGGCCACATATGCTTGGCACAGCTGGTGCATATAACATTTGCCTTATCGAGACATCTCTGAAAACAAACCAAACAGTGAAGTAATTACAATTTGAAAAAAGGAAGCTTGACAAGACAAGACCCCACAGCAGAAATGACAACACATATCATTATCCGCCATCATTTCTTTACAGGATGCAAGTACACATTTTTGACAACTTCCCTTTTTGTTACTTATTTGTGGTGATTTAGGAGTGTGAGGGCAGGAGATGCCTTGGAGCAGCGGTCCCCTGACAAGGTGGGTGGCTTTCCACTGGGCGCTGTGAACCCTGCAGCTAGACAAACACTCTACGGCTCATTCGGCCTGCCTTGCTGTGGTTTGGTCTGCACAGCCCAGACAGGACCCATGGCTTCAGTCTATTTGCCGTCTACTTTGCTACCTCAGCCCCCGCCCCCCTCCTCCTTCTCTGTTGGAAAATAAAAAAACCTTGGCGTGAAAACATGACCCTTGGTTCGTGTGCACTCTGCCGGGAGGATATAAATCACAGCTTTATGGAGGTCTCTGTCGTGGTCTACGAGACCCGTGTGCTCCTAGTTTTCCTTTTTCTCACCCAGATCACAGAGCAATATTTAGACGTGGTGACCAAAGAGGAGGAGGAGGAGGGGAGAGCGGAGAAAGAAAGGGAGGTTTTCCTATTATCTCAAACAATAATGAAAGACTGGGGTGATGGGGAAGACACAGCCTCAAGCTAGTGATCGAAAGGGCAGGTGGACTAAAAGACCTACAGTTCCCTGCTGTACTGAGAAGTCTTGATCTGGTAGAATTACATTAATAAAGACCTTAATCTTATTTGCACCAGCTTTTTATTTTTATTGGATAGCAACCACAGTAGAGTTGAAATCTTTCATTTTGACTACACATTTTCTGCCAATTCCTTCAATGAGGACACAACAGGATGAAGTTCTCATTGACTTTTTTTCAGACACTGCAGGGCACACCACAATGTTTTATTCATCCAGTCATCTCCTGCCTAATCAACTTAATTAGGAAATGCGTGCAAAATGTGATTTATGGACTGTTTATTAGGATTTTCTGAGGCAAGAGGAAAACATTCTTCAAAGTATCCTCTGACATGAAAAATGGGGTGCATGCAGAGAACCTGTCAGCTGCGGACAAACCTCCAGGGTATCATTAGCTGGGAAAATATTAATTTAGAAACTAGTTGACTAGTTGATGGCAAGAAATTTGCTTCAGCTTCATTCATTTATTTGCTCATTACTGTGCAATAATTAGATTTCCTTTGGTCAAAATAGAAGGATGAGAGACAAATATACAATACTTTGTTAAAACTGCTTCACCCAGAATCAAGATGAATCTATTCAAGTTAAAGCTAAAGTAGTTACCGCAGGTTGTTGCACAGCAAGCCAAACCTTCCGCAACTACAGACCTTTAGTCTGTATGAGCTTCAGAGGTTTCATCATAAAAATGCAAAAAAAAGGAAATAGGATTTGGCAGAGGCTGTGTAGATCATTGAAGAACTGTTATAAGATTTCTGACGAGCCTTTCTACCGGCTACTGGTGTCCATTTGAGGACACTGGTGCACTTCCTGATGGTTTTAACAATGTGTCCCTTTCAGAAGATCTGAGAGGTGAGCCAGGAAGTGGAGCATAGGATGAGAATTGGCTCTGGAAATTGTTCATGAACTTCCATTGCCATTTTTCGTAAAAGGCCATTTTAAAGTAAAGCTAGATCATAAAAATAACTCGGAGTCAGTGAGGTGGAGAGAAAAGCCTACGGCCGATGAGGTTACAGGATGTTGTTTTAAGGTCTCTGTTGCCCCTTTGGGAGACAAGTGAGATCACGACCTTGTACTACAGGGGGAACTGGAAGGAAACTTCATAAAAGACCACTGGCTTTGCTTTAGTAGCTGAAAGGAAAAAGCATTTAATAAATAGTTATTATCCAAAGGTTCTCAAAGAGAGGCAACTCAAATCTGTTATTAATGTGACTTAAAGTCAAACTGTTGAAAAAAAAAAAGGTTGGGGTGGGGTTTGATAACACATTGTGGGTGCTTTGGGTGGGCACTCTTTATAAGCCTGACCAAATTCCTCCAACAAGTCAATATGACCTCCACAAAAGTGATATGACTAATGGAATGCCACAGGGCCATTTCCTTGTGTTTCTACAAAAAGCGCTGGATGTTTATGAAGACACAGAGGTCTGCAGAGAAGAGTATTTATTTTCTTGACAATTCTGCAGAGAGTATTCTGGCCCTTCTCCTCCGTGACTCTCACTCAACAGCCATCCATTTGTATGCCACAGGGTTTATTTATACATTACAAGCCTTCATCAAGGCTAATTTGATGGGGGTAAAGAAAAGGGGGGAAAAGAGTACACAAAAAATCTTATGAAAACGCAGCTGCTGCAAGGGGCAGATCCTGTCTAAATAAAAAGAGAAGTATCTTGGAATAATATACAATACAGCCGAGGGGTCATGAGGAAGGTCATCCCCATAAATATACGGCAAATTCTTCAGACACACACACTGTGGAGGGACATGGCAAAATACAATCATTGAACAGTTTGAGAATTGCTCTTATTTATATCAGTGCAGCAGAGGGGAAGCTGAGCACTGGTATTAACAATAGCACAAATGTATTTAGAAATGCTAAAGAACATAAATTAAAATCATGGATAACAGTATTTTAATAAAAATAAACAAAGTTGTACAAAGGCCAGTGTTTTAGAACTGAACATGATTTTGTGTCTTATATCAGGGACGTGTGTGACGCATTCAGACACAATGTTTTGATAAACTTTAGTGTTTTAGAAAATGAATCGCGGCAGCTGAAATTTCAAACCTGTCATACCACATAGAATGAGGAAGCTCAATATTTACATTTTTGACCCTGCGTGTTTTGCCGTGATTACAAGGAGAAAAAAACGAGTCCATTAAGCTGACCTCTCCACCCTTTCATGTCTGGAAGGAAGTCATTATAGTTCTTTATACAGCTGACGAGGCAAGGCCAATAATGATGGGGGGTTGGACGGAACAGGTCCTATGTGCAGGCATACCTGCATTTGAGTTTCCTGTGAAGACCATACAGGATACCCTGAAATGAAGGTTTGAACCCCTTGATAACTGAGAAGGCTGGGTTAAGATAATTACCATTGACTCCACAAGGCTGTGCTCACATTACTGAAAGAGCTCAACTCTTTTGGATGTTTTGCCTGGTGTGTATTTCTATGGAAAGGGTTAATGAGTAGACTTTAGGGTTGTTACTATACTAGATTAAACTTTGTTAAGATTCTAGTAAAATTCACATGATATTGATACCCTTTTTTCGATAACATAAAAAAAAACACACAAGTCCGAGGCACCCACTATTTGGTCATTCTTGTTTTAAATTACAAATTACTAAGTTTGTTAAGTTTTGACAACATCAGTAGAGGTAAGTAAAAATGACTTTATACACACACTTCGTTAAATCCCTGTCAAGCAAAATCTTTTTTTTTTGGTGGCTACACTGACTGAACTTCAGGTGTGCGTTACAAGGGATGATGACTGAGGCTGCAGTATAGGAGGGGATGGATCAGGGGCCTTTCTGCACGAGTGACAGCCCAAAACAGTTCATCCATCAGAGTCAGGGTGGTCAGCGAGGAAGGGATGCTGGGAGAGCATGCTTCAGTGCAGAGGACCACCCAAAGCAGACAGTGTGCTACCTCACACCATGGAGTACAGACCAAACTGTAAGCTTCACACTGATTCACACTGCAACAAATGATGAAAGACGGCTCTCTCTCTCTCTCTCTCTCTGGCCGATAAATAAGCTGACCACAGGGAATAGATGAGCAATGAGTCACCTTGAAAAAGATGCCTTATTGTGGCTTAAATAAAGCTTAAATCTTGAAAAAAAACAATAGAAGAATGAAAGAAATTGACGCCTGCGTATGTTGTAGTGCTAATAAGGGATTGTTATCAACAAAATAAAACAAGGTTTAAAACCCCTATGAATGACAAGTGGTTTTGTATTTTCTGTTCTCTGTAAGTCAACACAATGAGAAGGAGCAGCTAGAACACAACTGAGAAGAGCTAGTACCCGAGATGGCTGAGAACCTTGCACAACTGGTCACAAAAACTGTACACAAAACAGAGACGTGTGTTTTAAAGTTAATATAAGCATATCTGAGATAATTGAGTAACCCCAGAAAAACAAGCTCATTTGCTCCAGACATCTTGATGTGCATATCAGTAGTGTGTGGTCTGGTAGAGGCCATACTTTCTTGTCTGGTTATTAGCCCTTTGGCTTTACTGAAGGGGAACATTTTTGTGGTCACAAGGCGTGCAATTACACCTTTTCCCTCCATTTGTTTATATCTTTCTGTTGATAATAACCAGCATTGTATTTGGCATTTCACTATGGTTAACACATTTGAGTTGGAGAGCAGATTTGAAAAAAGATATCTGATAGTGGAGGGACTATGGAGAGAAATGTGCTGATACTGCCCTCTAGTGGAGATGTAGGAGAACTACTAATATACATACCTGTTCTTTAGATTTTGGGGAGGATGGGGATGATTCATAGTCTTTTTTGGTCTCCAGGATCTTTTTCACAAGGCCACCTACAGGGAGGGAAACAATGAGAGGAAATGTGGGGATTGTTTACTCAAAAATTTAAGGATTAGAAGTATGTAGCTTATCTAAAGGTAAAAAAAAAAAAAAAAAACTGTCACAAATAAACTTGTCAGTGTACCGTGTTTGTCTTCACCGTTGATTTCTTGTGCAGACTCCTGTCACCAAAAAAACAGAATATTACAAAACAAGGCTTGTGTTTTCCCAATGGTAATCCTGTAACGGACTGTTACAGCCACTTACCACCTCCATCTCAGGAACATCTGAAAGTAAAGGAGCTGCCTCCTCCACGACAAATTGCTCATCTTCATCCTCATCATCGTCAGACAGCCTCTTTCCATCTATGATGACTGGTGCGGAGGGCTTGGCACTTGACAGCCTGAAACAAAAGACAATTATCACACAGTAAGCCCAGTGTGTCAGTTATATCTGGTTGAAAAATCTCAGAAGTGATACATCTCTCCTGCTGGAAGGGGAAATGCTTGTTTTCAGAAAAAAAGAAAACTGTATTCACAAATAAGAAGCTCTCATTCTTTTCAGTGTTAATAACATCAGACTTGTGACGCCAGAAAACATGTGTGATGGAGTCACCTCTCAGCTGGGGTCACATCAGTGGAACTTTCTTGTCTCTTCACTCGAGGAGGGGCTGGGCGAGCACTGCTAGGCCGTGGTATTCTCCTGTTGCAATAGAATTAGGGGATAATGAATATGACTGAAGCAGGCTTGTAAACTAAAATTTTCAAAAGCTACATTTTGCATGCATTTTCACATGCCAAGTATTTATTTCTAAACATCTTTCACAAGTCAAATGCTTACTCTAAAGCTTTCTGGTTTGGAAATATTTTGTACAGCATAAATAACATTAAAACTGCTGCATAGCCTATCAATTGAACAGAACACTCACAATATTTAAAATTACTTTGACTAAATTGTATGTCCTACATTTACCCAACCGGCTCAGGCCCAGAAGTGAACAATCTTTTCAGAAGCAAAACTAAAATACATGTTAAGTTGTTGAAGTAATGAATGGGAGCTGTGCTTTTCATAGATTAAAGGAGCAATATGAAACCTCAACACGTAGCATTTAAAATTTGTACTGCAGTCCAAATTCAGAGTCAATGCACACAAGGGTTGCCATGGCACAGGTATGGAAGCTTCAGTGTTTAGCCAGGTCTGCATCGGTCTTGAAACCTTTCTACATTCTGCCAAGGTATTTTAGGTTGGGTAGACTCAAGTATCTGAACCAGTTCAGGGGTATCCAATATGGCAATGTGGGGGTTCCTTAAAACCACTTACCTTCTCTGGTCAAAACAAACACAGACCATACCGAACCGGAATCTAAATTTAGAAGGACATACTGTCTGCTACATTGTTGTCACAGAATCCAGCCCTTCAACTTAACATGTTTCCTTAATGCGTGATGATATAGTAAGGTCACTTTATAACCCTTTTCACACATACAGAAATTTCCTGAAAAACTCTGGAGATTTGGCTACCCGGAGGTTGTTTAGGCTATGTGTGAACGCAAATAGTCGCATTTTTCGCGCGGTCTTAACCTGGAGTTTCTCCGGCCAGACCCCTAGTATTTTTTCCGCAGAACATCTGAGTGAGCTGATGTCTGAACGCGGCAGCATATACTCCGGAGATTTCAACTTGAGCCAATAGAAAGAGAATAAAATTGGATAAGTATCCTGTACAGCACCTCAGCGAAGTGCTTCACAAGTGAAGGTTAAATGTAGCTTGTACAGACCTGGAGGAGATTTCAGAAGAGGGGACTGCGGTGTCTCCATTTTCCAGTGGAACAGGTCTCTGAGCTAACTGGGCATCTCCTTCTGTAAAAGGAAAACAATGGCTTGTTCATAGCTCTGCATATAATTGCAAACAATTATACCAGCCCTTTATATTGTGGACACTGACAGACTGTTTTAACAAGAACATACCGAAGTATCTTTTTTCATGTTTTCACATCTGTAACAAAGCTATGGCTGGTTCACGACAGTGTTGGGCACATTTGAACAAGGGCACATAAAGTGAGCTATTACCCTGGCCTCCTTTTGATAGCCAAACAATCCAATTTTTGACTTGAGTTTTAAACTGCTGAACTATTAGAACGAACAACCTCTGCTCCTTTCATGTTACACAACTGACATGATGGGCGGAGTCAGGAGCAGTTGCCATTGTATGCCTGTAAAGCCCATCACGCCCTGTATGTGATGTAATTCTTGATGAATAAACTTGACAGACTTGCTTTGATGCTCCAACAAAGAATAGATTTCCCCTAATCATACAGTCGGTAACCCAATTACTCAAAGCCTAACATGTAAAGCTTGAACCAAAGGAACTCTGACAGTTTGCTGAAGACAAATGTTAATGACAGTATGGACGACGATGATTCGTTTTCTGCATTTCTTTTCAATATTAAGATAGTACTGTGCTTTCTCAGATATCACAACTAAATATGATTTAATTGGTTTATTTGGTTGAGTGCTCAATTTCAACACTCTACTTATATATTATAGAAGAGAACCAAAACTTTTGTAATTGTATTTTAGAATAAGAAAAATAACTAACTCTCCACATGAAAACTTCTTGTGTATAAGTTGCAATTCTTTTTAATCGTTTACCCATGTTCTGTAAAAAAAAGATAAGGTAGAGACCACTTGCCTCCTTCACTGTCAGATTCATCTGTTCAGGGCAGACAAAGACAAAGGCATTGTTAGGTTCCCTTCTAAGTGAAATGTGAGTAAGCTAAATGAAACAGATGAACAATTAAACTTGAAGCTTTAAAATAATCAAATATCGGCCATATGTCTCCATGTCAGTTCTAGTTATAGTTACTTGTTTTTTTTGCAATAGTCATTGTGCTGAGTCACAACCCCTAAATTCAACAGTTAGTGATTTTGTTAAACAAGTAAGTGTAAATAGAAAGCCTAAATCTGGACATACTTAAAATCCATTCTGGCTTTAATAAAAGCTCAGCTAGGAACTCAGTGAGTAACGCTTCATATATACTGATGTTTAAAAAAGGGTATGAAAGGGAAATCAAGTTAAAGGAAGGATTTACCTTGACTTCCTATTTTGGGTCTCCTTCGCTGCCCTTTGGCTGATGATGGCCGAGGTATTCTAGCTGGACTATCAGACTGTGAGAGGAAGAAAAGACAACAAGATAAGAGATACAAGGTATACTCATTTCCAAACACCAGTGTGCAACCATTCGTCCTCATCTATTATATGTATTTGGTAAGCTACAGGCACACTGAGGTATTCTATAGTTCTGTTAAGTACTAATAAACAGAGAAAAGTTGAAACATATTGAGGGAAAAATGTAGGTTTACAGTAGGTTAAATAAACTACTACTACTACACTACTTTTTAATATGTGTGTGAGTGCAATGACTAACTGCATGATGCTATCTTAATTAGCAACAAACATTTGGATTTGGTAACTCAGTCATTTCCAAGGTCAAGAATAGAGTACATCACTTTTTGACATCTGAACACCAAAATTAGTGAACTTCATTGTTTCACAGCTGACTTAGGGGTCTAATACGTATACTGTCTGCACTCTGTCATCAGTAATTCTTGATACCCGTTGATGTTCAGTATGTATGGGGGCCATTAGGGGCCATTCAGTAGAATAGGTAGAATTGATGTTGTCTATACCGGGAAGTAAGCCTGGGTCTGTGAAAGGTGGCAATGCTATTTGGGTTGGCCACTAAGGGGCCTGGGATGGGTTACGTAACTTATCAATAAGGTCTAAATAGTGTGAGAGGGGTTTCCTCACTGAGCACTTATCCTTATCAATAGGGCACAAATTACTTGTCTTTTTGTTGTTGTTTTTTAAAACCCATATTTAGGTCTGCAAAAGTGATGCACACTAAACAGTGAAGCTCCTCATACATACAGGGAAATAAACCATTTCAGCAGTAGTGAACTTAAAGAATATATGACCAGTAACCTTCAAGTTACAAATTAATGGCAACATCTTTGAAGAATTTCAAAACAAAGCATTGTTTGCATTGTCCTTTCATTGATAAAGAATCAATGTGGGTGTGTCTTACTTTGAAAAGAAGAGGTGTTAAAGACCAGATCTTTAGACACTGGGTAACTTACCTGGTTCTCAGCTGATTCTACTGGCTGCAGAGGCAAAGAGCACAACATACACACTAGACTTAATGGTCACATCCAAAAGAGATAATCAAAACAAACAAGGCCTCACATGTCTGTTGCACGCTACAGCCCAAATAAGCACTATACTAAGCAGGCAACTATCACTAAGCCGTGGCAGTAGATGTTAAATTCTAACACTAACATGTCTGTCGTAAACATGTAAAATTCTTGACTGAATACCTCTTCAGCTGGTTTAGGTTCCTTTTCAAGAGACGTACAAAATCAGAAGATAAATTACAATTACCGGTACATTCAAAAAAATCTTTATTCTTATTAAATCTTTGTCAAACTTTATGCTCTTTTGGTTTGGCTGACTTGTAGTTCATGAAATTCTGCCACCATGACTGCAGGTAAGATCAAATGGTCCCAACGATACTTAGTGTAATGTGAAAATATTCTGCTTAAAGATCACACTCACTGCAGGCACAGGTTTGGCTGTTTTGCTCGGTTCTTCATGGTTGCCTTGATGAGGCTCCTCTGACACTCTCACCTAACCACAAAGACAAAAAACAAAGACGTGTAAATAATGACATCCGTTGCTAACATTGATGATTTGAGTGGGATTAAGTGACAAACCTTGCTATTGCCACTGTCTCCATTTTTGTTTCTCTCTTCCCCATGTTTGTGTCGCTCTCTGTCCTTCCCCTGGTCCTTGTCTCTTCGTTTTTCCTTGTCTCTTTCCCGGTCTCTGTGAGAATCTCTGTCTCTCGTCTTTTCTCTGTCTCTGTCCCTCTCCTTCTCTTTTTCTCTGTCTCGATCCCTCTCTCTGTCTTTCTCCTTTTCCCTGTCTTTGACTCGCCCTTTGTCTTTCTCCTTGTCTCGATCCCTGTCACGGCTCTTCTCTTTGTGCCGATCTTTGGCATGGTGGTCCTGTTCACTGCGGTGGTGCTTGTCAGAGCGTTCTCTGTCTCGATGGCGTTCTTTCTCTCCATCTCTGTGATGGCCCTCCTGTTCTTTGGGCTGGTCTGGGTCCTTTTGGTCACGACTCCCACTGCGCTCTGTTATCCTTTTTTTATCCTGGAATAGTACATACAAACACCTAGGGTAGTACTGATTGCAAGCCACTGATAGACACCACAAAACTTAATTATTCATATTTTTTAACCCAAGCCTGTATCATGTTAGGCTAAATGCCAACACAAACAGAACATTTCACATACTATGAAGGATAATGTGGTCAGTGACACATTTTAAAATCCACATTTCGAGCAGGCTAAGGTCTCTCACCTCTCTATCAAGATGCTGTTCACTTCCCTCTCTATTTTCCTTGTCCTGGGACCTGGAGGTGCTGGCCTTGGTCTTGATGTCCACTTTTTCTCCTGAAAGCACTCGCTTTACTGCATCGTCACTGGATAACTGCAGATCAGATACAGTGGAATCATTCTTCCGACAACTATATCATTATATCATGATGAGATATTTACCCTTGTTGGTGTATTCAACAAGGAGGGTAACACATTGTGCAGAGGCGTTTACTTTTAACAGATGTCTAAGTTTAAATATGATGGAAAGCACCTGCTCTTATACATTTTTCTACAGAATTTCAGCTGCTTGAATGTAGCTGAAATTCCTTTCTTGTAGAGGGGATAACAATTAAAAAAGTCATATTTGCCACTTCTGATAGTTTAGTTTTCTACTGTAGAGACATTATCAGATATATTAAAAGCAGACAGCAAATCATGCATAAAATCTGATGTTAATTAATTTAAATCCCCATCTTCGTCTTCATGACATGAAATCAAAATACAGTTTAAAGAACAACTATCCCCCAAGCAAAAGATCATCTGTTTACATTCCTCCTCCAGGGCTCAATTCAAGTATTGCAAAGATCTCCCTGAGGTGATGAGAGTATTTCCTCAAGAGTACAGTATTTGATGAGGAAAAATAACACACTCTTTACTAAAACACAGACAACATGAGGAATAAATTGTCTAGAGACCACTAGAGAACTGCAGTCTTGTTTTTTTTCCAGCTAACCATTACGTCCTTCTTTGTGTTTGTATGTGTGTGTGTGTGTGTGTGTGTGTGTATCATGACATGTTCTAGAGTACAGACCTTGTTGAGACAGCACTTGGCCATGGCCTGCAGCAGCTCGTTGGTTTTCTCAGGCTCATGGCCGGCTACAATGCGGGCTGGCTTTGCTGCTAGAGGCTCGCCACTCACCAGCATCACCACATCTATTGCTTTCTGGAGGAAGACTATCTTTGAATCCTTATCCTAGACCAAACAAAAGAAAATGCTGTTATGACCAGGAGAATGCAGTGGAGAAATAGAACACAGAATAAAAGGAAGTTTCTAAAACAATTTAGAATGATTCATTAATAATTCATAATAATTTCAATGAAGCAATCTTGCACTCGTGCATCTCCGCCAGCACGTATTACACAATGCTCTACCAGGCATATTTCTCTCCAACATGCGCTCACTGTGCAACAAACTGGATGAACTTCAGCTAGTTGATGGGAAGAAATCAAGACTTTTCTACACCTGTGTTTTGTGTTTTACAGCGATGTGGCTGTGTGGACTGATGCCGGACTCTGTGCTTCAGCTGACAGGATTCCAACTCTACAGAGCGGATCGAGGCGGACAACTTTACGATAAAGCAAAGGGTGGAGGAATTTGTTTTTATGTCAACAGTGCCTGATGTACGGATGTAAACGTGATCCAAAAGCATTGTTCCCCTGAGCTGGAATTTTTTACATTCATCGCAAACCATTTTATTCCCCCCCGTGAGTTCGCTTCATTCATTCTGGTTGGCGTTTACATTCCACCGTAGGCCAACGTGCAGGAGGCACAACCTGAGTGACCTGCGCTTGGCCAACAACCTGAATGAGTTCTACCGTCACTTTAAAAGACAATGTGACAGCCCAGAAACATCCTTTATAACGACTCAACTCCACAACCCCACCACAGCAGGGGCTCAGGACTCTCAACGACTGTCCACCCCAACAGCCCTCTCCCCCCACCACCCCAGCGACACCTCTTTCTGTCACTGAAAGAGATGTTAATAAGACCTTCAAGAGACAGAACCCAGCAAAGCTGTCTGAGACATGCTTCCCCAGCTTCACCTGCTGTCTCCTGTCAGCCACAGCAAAGGAAAAAGGCATGCTGCAGCATATCATCCACTCTGCAGAGAGGTTGATTCGCTGCCAACCTGCCTGTACACCTGTACACCTCCAGGACCCTGAGGCGTGCAGGTAAGACTGTGGCCGACCCCTCTCATCTCGGACACGGACTTTCTGAGACCAGGACAAAAACCTCACGCCACAAAAACAGATTCTTCCCCTCCAAAACACCAAGTCAAATTCCTTGTATGTGCAAATGTACTTGGCAATAAAACCGATTCTGATTGAAAAGAATTTGCTTCAAATAATAAACATGACACAAATCGACCTGATGTTGGCTTTCTGAACATGAACTCTTACGAAACAAGGGTATATCCTGAACATATAAGGGCCAATAAGTAACATGTTGACTTTACTTGAGCATGAGTGAAGATACAGAAAACTTGGAAATATAAAAATGGTTGCCTTTCAAAAATAAATACTAATAAATATGTTCTTAGATTATATTTCAGCATGCATGTAAATAAAACAGGCCCTGTTCCAGACACATGATCTGGATAAGGAGTGCTTTTAGTCTATCAGCCAGCTACATCAAGTCTGCCAACTGTGTTACATAAGCACTTAAAGCTTGTGCAACCAACTGGCCCTTCTGTATAACATCTGATAACAGACTGGCCTTTCTGTCGAGTAACATGCCCTTGCACAGGTAGACAATAAAGTAGAATAATGAAATACAAAGGGTTTCGCAATATTAAACACAATTATGATTTGGTCACATAAGTATGTCAGGGATTGTAGTTTCCATCAGGAGCTTTCATTTGGTTGGTTTTAGTATTGTTTTTCTTGCTTTCGTTCTGTCTGCCTGTGTCAGTTTAACATAATAAATACATCTTTACTTTAAAGGCAGGACATGCAATTTAAAATACCTCACATTAAAGAATCAAGAAAACTCATTCACAGAATACAATGTCAGCTTTTCAAAGTAAGTCTATATCATCTAAACAATAGTGTTTTTGTGTTTTAAAAAGTATAGCATTTAATGTAAACAATACACACAATTATTTGGGGGTTGTCCTTTCTACCCAATATGTACCTGCCATTATCAATCAACTTGTCAACCACTCTCACAAGGCCTAGGGCAGGATCACATGAAGAGACAATATCAATTTCTAAATACAACAAAAATAAATGTCATCTTACGACAACTTTCATTGTGCGGCCTTTATCAGAAGCCTTCCATTTTCTTAACCAGCATTAAATTAGGCTAAGCTCTAAAACAGCAGACTTGAGTTCTGACACCTTGGCAGCCTCTCTGAATCGTGTCCTGCCAGATTCTCTCGCTCAGTGTGTTAGACACAGTGTGCTATTACCCCCCCATATATAGACTACCTCAGACCGACCCATGTAACACACAGAGGACCTCACACATAACAAAGGACATAAATTCATATTCTGTAATTAAACAAGCAAGCGTATTAGCAAAAGATCCCCACTAATCTAAGGATGGTCTTATCAGTTGTATAGTTGATTCCAGAAGTAACTATATAACAACCTAGCAGTTTAACCTGGTTCACAGTGTGTAGTCTTACCTTAACGTTATCAGACTTCATTTCATTTTCTCCATACAGGCCTTTCATAAAACCAGTCGTCCTGATAACCTGAAAGTGGTAGAAATAAAGGTGTCACGCTCATTTGTCTGATTCATTTGTTGTTATATTATATCCTGTAAACCACATGTGGGGTGGCTGACCCCAACATTGGCTTTAAATTTGATAACATACATCCATATCTTAAATCTATCCATGTGGTTTTCTAGAATGCAGCACTGGTGTCTTTTATAATGTACGCTTTAGCAATTGTGTTGATATTTTGGAATCAGTTACAGCTGTTGCAGAGCGGCTTTTGAGTCCACATGGAAATCACTGTAATACAGTAATTCACAGTTTAGGTTTGAAACCACTATTGCAGGAAAACAGAAAAAGAAACAGAAAAAAACTGTATTTGAAAAAGATGACTTACAATATAGATGCATAAATTACGTCTAAGGAAAATGCAGTTTTCTTCTTACTTGTGCAGACAAACACATTGCTATCAAGATAAAAGAGGGAGCGACATGCCAACACGCTTTATCAAATATACATGAACATACAGTGAAATACTAGACTCCTCAACGGGTGGGGAGTGAGAATGAGATCTCACCTCAGTTCAGATAAGTAAAACAGATTTTATCGTGCTTGACACCTCATGTAAAGGGTTCTGTTGTGTGTAAAAGTTATATGACAAAGAAAGACAATGTAGCTAACAAAAATCTACATGAAGTAGGTTTGAAATGGGTGTAAGTAAGTGTTGAATATTCCCCAATCAATTGGAGATCAACACATTCTATCACACTGTCTAAATCAGGGGTCTCCAACAGGTAACTCGGGAGCTACCGGTAGCTCGCGGGCAGGTTTTCAGTTGCTCACCTATAGGTTGACTGTCTGTGTTAAAAATAAAAATAAATCTGACTGCAGTAAATGCACCTCTTCCCACTATTCATGTATTTGGCCCATAAAAACAAGTGTAAAGTATTAATGTTTTATTGGACATTGATGTGAATCTTAAGTAACATAGCTTACTATGTGGCACAATAAGAAGTGTAAAATATTCTCATTTTTTTTATTGGACCTTGATGTGAATTTAAGTTATTGATAAGCACTGGCTTATTGCAATTTCACACATGAACAAACAGTAGCTTAATTCAGCTGATGTGTAGTATGTAAATAAATCAAAGCGATTTGATGCAAGTAGCCCTTGGCCACTTCCATTATTTCAAAGTAGCTCTCAGGTGAAGAAAGGTTGGAGACCCCTGGTCTAAATAATACTGTGACCAAATGGTACAGATTATCCCTTCTTTTTTTTTGTAAAAGAATAAGAAGGAAAACAAAAG